ACCTCCTCTAAGCTCCGCCCCCTCCTCCCCCTCCCGTCAGCGCTCCGTCCAAAACCACGGCCCCACACAAGCTTGAACGCACATCCTGCAGTCAGCAGGGCAGAGGAGAGCCGAGTAAAATAACAAATCCCCCCGAAGCAAACAAATAATTACCTGTCCAACAGAAAGACAGCAACCTCTGCATCACTTTTCAGGCCCTTCAGCTCCCTCAGTTGTCTCCACCATTCAAAAGCTGCACGGATGTTGATGTCTGGTTTGTCCTCTCACTTTATCCAAAGCCTTTTTCGTCACAGCCTTTTCTGCCTCTGACTTTCCTTTCTCAGCCTGTTTAGCGGGCGAGCCGTTACAAATAACACTGGAAGTGGTACTTTTGGCTGCATTTTCTCTGCCATTGTTCAGCAAACTCCTGCTAACTTGGTATTTCTGCTGAGGAGCGTGAGAGAGAGAGAGAGAGAGAGAGGGAGTGACATGCAGCAAAGGGCCACAGGCTGGAGTCGAACCCGGGCCGCTGCAGCAACAGCCTTGTACATGGGGCGCCTGCTCTACCACTAAGCCACCGACGCCCCTGTAATTTTTATTTTGTATATTTCATTTCATTAATTTATTTTTTTCTGTCTTTCTTTTTTCCCCTTATAGCCTTTTGTTGCTGTACAGGGAGGATGAAATTCTGAAAGAAGAAAAACAGCTTATGAACTATGAAATATAGCAGGCAGAACCTTAAATATGAAATGGGATCAACAATATTTTTCTGTGATTCCAAAATTATCATAACATACATACTTTAACATACATACTTTAAACCTATACTGTAACTATTGTTGTGATCTATCTTTATTTATCATTGAATATCATTTGTTTGTTACTGTGATGTATCACTGGTTGACACACATATTCATATAATTTATGCTTAAGAAAAAACAGAAAGAAATGTCATCAGCTATGTAATGAGTAAGATGCATGAGATGATATGATGGCAATAAATAGTATTAAATATTATTATTAATGTAGTGTAATGTTTACTGTAGTGTTTATACTGTACCTTTAAGTTGACCTTTAAAAATACGTGTTGAAGCAATGTACTCTGTGCACTGACGAATCACACACTGGTTTATTATTTTATGTATTCCTATGACACACACATACACTCATTGAGTACTTAAGCATTGTGGTGGAGAAGTACCTAGGATTCACTGTGCATCATTTCTAAAAATAGCATGAGGATGGGCTCAGAAACACTGGTGGAAAGTTAGGGGAATTCCAGCTTGTCCTGATATGACTCTGGTAAGAGGAGGCGGTCTTAGACTGCCCAGGAAAGCATTACAAGTGCAAGTAGATAGGCTGGCTTTAGGAAGAACGGAGAAAAGTGACACCGTTATGATGGTAGGATGAAAGGAAAAAAAGTGGAGACTCGGCAGAAATGTGATACCGTTATGTGAAATCTTCACAATAAAAGCGAGTGCACAAAGAAATTCCACTCCTGCTCCGGAGCTTGACTCATTGAGTTGATGTGTTCTGATGCCTGCAAGCACATTAAACTCAGTTGCATCTGATTCTACGTGTCTCCAGTGATTTTTTGACTTCTGAGTATTTGAGTTTTTGATATCTAATAGAAACAAAGAAAGTTTGTTCGAGAAGATGGGAACGAGGTCGCAAGCTTTCTGTCCCAGCTCCAGACCTTTAAATTTATGTTTCTACATTAATATTAATAATAAGAAGAAGAATTATCATAATAAATTTAATAAACAAGATTACATGGCAAATTACATTTTGATTTAAATTAGATTAAATTACTGTAAATTTAGGAGCAAAACAGCAAATGGAACAACTGAAAAAAATAGGTGGGCCAATAGGTCAATAAGTTTGTAAAAAAAAAAAAAAAAAAAGCATCAGTAATGGAATGATACTTGTCTCTGTATTTCTGTCCACTGAGTCACTGTTGACCTTCACACTTGTTTTTTCCAGGGAGGGAAGATTCCCATTCGGTGGACAGCTCCAGAGGCCATTCAGTACAGGAAGTTCACCTCCTCCAGTGATTGCTGGAGCTATGGCATAGTCATGTGGGAGGTGATGTCATATGGAGAGAGGCCCTACTGGGACATGAGCAATCAAGATGTGAGTAAAGCCCCGTAGAACAGATGGCATTTATATTTAAGAACGAATCACAGAACTGTCAGAGAAGGGTCATAGGCCAGTGCATTTAATAATGGAACCTACATTTTTGTATGTGATTATATCATGTTTGAGGGAAAAGGATGACAGGAGAAAGTTGCACAGATTAAACACTTTTTTTGAAATCAAAGAAAAAGTAAATTGTAACTGTAGTTAATGGTGAGCCACCATTGGTTAATTGTGTTCTATGTTTTGAAAGAAGGGGAGCAGGAAACAACTCCACCTCTGCAGCTATAGCTCCATCTGACAAACTGTACCATGTACCACAAGCTGATGCTGTCTTTTAGGGTTGTCAGCCACTGACGTATTGTGTGTTCTAATATCCATACCACTATACTATGTAGTATGCCACAAAGAGATTTAGTATGTCCCAATACATAGTATGTCAAATGCAGTATGCCAAAAATACCAGGAGGTTCGACTACATCCTGTCTGATTTTGCAGTTTGCAAGCCAGCATGCTTTTCTGGCTATTCAGACCTACAATCCTCTGCACAGTGGACGATACGTCACATCAGCTGAGCCGCAAACAAATGACAGCTGTCAGAAGTTGCAATGAGGGATGACAGCGCATTCAAGTTACTGATGAACAGTTGAATGATAGTTTAAGTGAACAAAATAATCAGAAATGTTACAAACAACAGTAGGACATAACTATTAAAATAACAATGAAAAAGAACTGTAGACTGAATTTCAATGTAGCAAATATTATCTGTTGGAATCTACAGTCTGTGCGGTTAGTTAAAATACATACATTGTAAGGTAACAACAGCAGAGCACTTCGAGTTGATCTCTGGTGAACTCGGTTGGTGGCATTCGTTTTATTTCCAAGGTAACTGATATAAAAGCAAGAGGGTCAAAATTCAGGGCATAATGTTATGAGAAAGTGGTATGTCCTGATTGTGTGCATACTGCATGCAAAGGACAGCTGCAGTACCTACTAAAAGCATTTTATGCAATGTCACATTCATCCATTCACACACACATTCATACACTGGTGGCCGAGGCTGCCATACATGGTGCTACTTGCTCCTCAGTAACCATTCACATGCACTCACACACCAGTGGAACAGATGGTTTAGTATCTTGCCCAAGGATACTTCGACATGCGGGCTGGAGGAGCTGGGAAATCGAAGCGCTGATTTTCCGATTAGTGGACGACCTACTCTGTCTCTGAGCCACAGCTGTATGGTTTAAGACAACTATCAAAAAGATCTGTGCATAATTTTAACCATTCGTATTTCGTAATGTTAAACATTTGTATGTCAATAAAATTGTTGTACACAAAATTCTGCTGTCATATACGTGAGTCTGTGAAATTGTTCGGGTTAGGATTGTTTTTATGTGAGTATGAATCTAAAAGCTGTGAGTGCAAAGTGAGTATGAATCTAAAAGCTGTGAGTGCAAAGTCTTGTGAATACAACTCTGATTTCTACAACAACGAAGTCCTCACTGTGAACATGAATTCAAGTTTGTGGGTACGAGTAGGAAAGTGTTGAAATTACGTCACTGAGGTCACAGGCAGGTCACAAGGGAAAGTAATCGAACCGAGATTCCTCTAAACGTGCATGCCCCAAAGGCAAAGATGGCTGACGACAGCGGACTGGGTGGAGCTGCCAGCTCAGGTGAAACATCACAGGTAAAGTCATTAACGTGTATATCAAGTATTTTCATTTCATAAAATTGTACTATTTTAAATAATATACAGTTCTTGGACTGACAGACTTACTGCTTTAACTTGCAAGCTAACAACATGCCGGTGACGCAAAGTTAGTGCTAGCATTGCTGGCATTAGAAGTTGGCTTGTGCTAATTAATTAGCACTGACCTGCAAAATATGAAATAATTAATTTGAGACATAATATTGATCAAAATACGACTTTTATAGATTTATAAATTACGTCATTTAGCGTATAAATCTGTCCAGTCTCTTTTCCTCTGTTTTGCTAAAACTCCTCCTGGCCATGTGCATTTGTTTTCAACGAAGCCAGCAAGAAAGCAATCCTTGCAGCAGTGGATAACGTTATTTATCATATACGATGTTACAATGTGTATATTTGTGTTGTCTTATCTGTCATAAACAAGAGATTACGGGTTACGGGGCGCATTTGTGTCACAAAATGCTTCTCTTATCAGAGCGGCATCCCTAGCAATGGTGTGTTATACTTAACAACAGACCGTAGAATGCAGTGATTGACAGCGTTCAATAGAGCCATATAATAATTAAAAGTTATTGTTTTATCTTGCAAGCAAATTATTGGCATATTCTTTTGCTAAAAATACTTAAGTTTTGCAAATAAGTATTTTGAATGTCTGTCCAGCCTAATGTTACATTATATGGAATTGATAGAATACTGTATGTTTTTAAACAATTAAGTTAACAGTGGCATTTAATGCATCAAACTTGTATTTTGTTTTCTACAGGGACCAATGGCTACTCAATTATTGGAACATCTGAAATCAGGGATTACCTATGTGTTGAGTCAACAGCACTTGAATTTGAACTATTTCCAGTACGTTGTAAATCAAGAAGCATTTATTCCGACGGCTGCCTCCACTACTTTAAACATCCCATCTGAAATTGTGGAGTGTCTTTTATCCCTGCAAAGTAAGATCCACGCAGCTGTTTCCCAGCTGTGCCAGCCAGAGCACAATCTTCTGGCGTATGCATGAACTTGGGTTGTCCACAAGATCTACATACAGCAGCTTATCTGATGGTGAATTGGATGATGCTGTGCAGTCCATAAAAAGCAGGATCCCAAATACAGGATACAGAATGGTTAAAGGCTGTCTGCAGGCAGATGGTCATAGAGTTCAATGGGATCGCATCAAGGAGTCCATGCACAGAGTCGATGCTCCAGGAGTTTTGGAAACGATGACTCGGCTGGGGTGCATAGTAAGGAGGACATACTTTGTGCAGGGGCCTTTGTCCTTAGTCCATGTGGACAGACACAAACCATAAGCTTATGCGGTAAGGCATTTATTTATGTATTTATTTATTGGGGGGGGTGACTTATGTGATTATTGTCATTTTATCTTTTGTTTTCAAGGTACAACATTGTCATATTTGGAGCAATAGCTGGGTATTCGAGAAAGGTTTGTCACCTTTTATTACAGTGCTTTATTATCTCTGTGCATGTTTGTGTTCATGTATTCACTGTTCATAAACTGCATATGTGTTACCCACACGATTCACAAACATTATTAACAGTGAATTTTCAAAACTTTTCATAACGTTTATCATTAGGGTTGGGTTCCGAATTTTCGGTTCCACCTGAATCATTAAGAAATTTTAATTTCGGTTCTGCTTTTCGATTCCTAAAAATTGTCCCTCGCCGCACACATTTGTTTCTGTTAAAACAGTGCAACACTTGTAACAAACGTATTTCGTGCAATGGAGGATGCACCACGAATATGGCAAAACATCTTCGCCAGCAGCACGGTATACAAATCAAAGAATGTACCGTGTTTGAAATGTTGCGCCAGCCTCCCTCCTCCTCACAAGCCTCGTCCTCCTCCGTCAGCCCGGCTCAGCCAACAGCCAGCACCTCCTCGTCAGAGCCCTCGCAGTCAGGTAAGTTCAGTTAACTTTTATTGAAGATTTAAATCTTCTAATCTAAATGTTTGTTTAGTTTCTAAATTTAATAAGCAACTGCGTCAAATGTGTTTTTGTAGATGAAAGCTCGCAGTCGCAGAGTTTACGGCCTAACGTTACTGCTCAAGCTAACAAGCTGGTCCCACAACATAAAACTCCCTTCACCTTAGCGGCTGGAAAGCTGACTGACACTGAACAGGTGAAATGTCATTCATGCACAAACACTGTCTCTCCTCAGTCATTACAGTGTTTTATCTAAATGCCAAATGTTGTCTGTAGTTAACAGTGCATGATTGTGGAGGAGATGGTGAGAGGAGCCAGGGCGACAAGGAAGGAGTGGAGAGTGAGGAAGAGGAGCATGTAAGCATATGATAGCAGAAATTATATTTGATAGATTCTGAATCTTAATTATTATATATGGATGCTTGAACTTTTTTGTGATAAGCTTGTTTGTTATTTGTTTTGCAGCCACCTCCCCGCAAAACTGTGAGGATGACTCCACTGGAGGAGCTTTTTGCTGACGAAGATGCTGTAAAGATGACATCACTGCAGACCTCCACATCCATCCAGGACAGAGTTGAGAAGGAGTTGTAGATGTACAAGGATATGCCACCCATGGTTACATCTGATGACCCTGCTGCTTGGTGGTGGAACATGCGAACGACGTATCCTTGTTTGTCAGACATGGCCTTTTCATTTTTATGTGTACAGGCCTCCTCTACACCAAGTGAACGAGTTTTCTCCACTGCGGGAAACACAAGCTGTGCTGAACGTTCACATATACTGCCTGAGAAGGCAGATATGCTTATTTTTCTGAACAAAAACTGTTAATGTGGGGAGTTTTTATATCTGCTTGTTCCATGCAGGCCTCCTTTACACCGGGTGAATAAGTTTTCTTTAATGCGGGAAATACAATCTGCTGGACGTTCACATATACTGCCTGAGAAGGCTTGAGATATGCTTATTTTCTTGAACTGTTTCTATTCTGTTTTTTTTTTTATACCTGCTAGTTCCCTGCAGAATGTGAATGACTGACTGAATGTGAGTCAATTTGTGGAAAGGTGTATTAAAAAAAAATAATAAATTGCGTGAAATAAGCATTTGACATTTTTTGACCCCGCCCCTCAAAGAATCGGAATTGAGAATTGTTAGGAACCCGAATCAGAAAGCAGAATCGGAGTCGGAGTCGGAATCAGAATCGCTAAAATTCAAACGATACCCAACCCTATTTATCATATTTTACTCCATCACTTTAAGGAGACTGGCCCAGACAGCAATCAAAGGGAGCAATACTGATTCACTTTACACGGTCACCACTGCTCACTGGTCTTCTGGTGCGGTTTCCTGGATATACTCCTAAAGATCACCAAAAAGGAAAAAGGGTTGCACTCAGAAAGACTTCAATACTCCTAAATACACAGAATGTATGGAGAACAATTATGAGGGGAAGAGGGAGGGGAGGAGGAGAAGATAATGAGAAGAAAGGGAGGAGTGTGAAGAGAGGTCAAGAGTAGCAGGAGGATGAGGAAGGCAGGTGGGAGGAGGCAAAGTAGGAGGGACAGGAGGAGAGGAGCAGGGGATAAACATTTTAAAACACTGTATATTCAGAACTTTACAAAGCATTTTGTTAATTTTAATCAATTTCCATGCCTGTTATGAATGTAGAAACCCTGTATCCAGAGAGTACATTTGCTAACCCAGAAATTTAGGGACATAGTGCAGATGTAATGTGTCAGAAAGCTTATTTCAGTTACTATTTATTTTTTTTATTTTATGCTTATGATTGTGGTTCTTGACTTTTATCTATTCCTGATCCTGTTTTTACCACTGTTGCTATGACTCCTGAATTTTCCCCTGGTAATCAATGAAGATTATTTATCTTATAGGGTTGGGAATCTCTCTGTGATAGACGATTCGATACGTATCTAGATACACGGGTTACGATACGATTCAAAAATGATATATTTTTAATACAGAATGATTCGATATGATTCGATACAGTGTAGGAACGATACAATTCGATGTGATTTGATACGATTCTATGGTTAACATTTGTTGATGTAGACATTAATCATACATTATAAAATAAAGAAGCCAATTCTATAAAAGTGACATTCTTACAGTATTTTCAAATTTGTAAAATACCACATCCCCAAGCATTGTTGCTGTGTGGCACTGGCAAATATAAAATAAAAAGACAAACAACAACAAAATCACATGTCAAATGTATTTATTTTTAGACATGGACAAAAAAAGGCTCGCTGAATGAACATCATTTTGTTGGATGGGATCAATATAAAAATGAGAAGAAGTTTTAAACTTTAAGTGAAGTGAACTTTAAGTAAAATTTAAGTGTTTTAAACCTACTTGTTGTGTTGTTTTTATTGTATTGTCTGTGTTTTTGTATGTATCTTATATGGACTTGAGTCTGGAATAAAGTTTATCATAACGCTGTACAATATAAACATAAAGCAGAATAAAATAATAACATGCAATGTAGGGGCAGAATCTGACATCTCCTGTTAATAGTTGACGTCATGGACTGTGATGACTAGCAGCTTATCACTGACAGCATGTCAGACTATTTCTCTGTGTTTTCTACACTGTGTTTGTCATTTATAAAAAGATAAATCACTTTTCTATAATACATCACTGATATTTCAATGGAATAAATTACTTATTGACTTATTCATACTTCAAAAACAGTATCAATAAGTGATTTACATAGGGGGGATCAAAATAAAATAAATAAATAAAATCAAAATCAACCAGCCACCCTCCTCCCCTGACAAGTAAAGAACAGTCCCTAAAGTGCGCTGAGGTTTATGGAAATGTGAACTGCTCGTTTCTCCTCTGACACATCACATACCTGTGTGCTGCCAGGGTTTGGCTGGTATTTCTGGGCAGTCATGACACCGACGAAGACTTCTTGGACCGGGCTTCTTGGTCGCCGGCCGGTAAGCCGTTATCATGCGCCGCCGTATTTGACAGGAATACGTATTTCTGTCTGTGTCTGTGACCCCGCGTTCAACCCACAACCGGCAGGATTCACCTTTAGTTTCTGCTGCGGCTTGGCTGCTCCCTGGTTTATCCAACCAGCATTGGCTTCTGTTCCTCATCTCCACCGGTCAAGCTGACACTGATGTTTACATCTTTGGGTACGTCCCAAGTCTCTTATTTTATACTGCTAACTCCTAACTCCTTACTTGAACCGGAAGTCGTTCGAGCTCCACCATCTTTAAGGCCGTCTCATGTCTCTTATTCCTGCCAGTAAGGAGTTAGCGTTAGGCGTTAGGAGGGATCTGTTAGGTGCGATGAGTAAGGTAACACGAGAGGTTCCTAACAGGAAGTCTTTTTCAGCATGAGGCCCTAATGTAAAAATACCCGCCCCCTACATCTGGCTCATTTGAATGAGATGGCGGAGAAACAGCGCAAGTGTACCCGTTACATGCATTCTTTGCAATGAAACGCTGTAATTCACATGCCTACGTGACTACAAAGAGTAACGTTAATGATATTTCGTGCAAGACTGTCATGTTGTAATTAAGTTTATTTCATTCACAAACCGTTGCATTATTCAGCGGACTGTCGGTGATGTGTGGCTGTTAAATGTGCAGCTGCTCGAGTGATATAACACCACGCACGCACACACACAAACACATACACAAACACATTTGACCATCATTAATTGTCTTGCATGTCATGTGAGTGGAATAATGTTTAATAGGCTGTAGGTAATATTAATTATTAATATTAATATTAATTATTATTATTACTTTCATTAATGTTGTTGTAAGCTACTGTCATTACCATCTGTCCTGCATCTCTCTCTCTGTCTCTCTCTCTCTCTCTCTCTGTCTCTCTCTCTGTCTCATTGTGTCATATGGATTACTGTTAATTTATTATGTTGATCTGTTCTGTACGACATCTATTGCACATCTGTCTGTCCTGGAAGAGGGATCCCTCCTCAGTTGCTCTTCCTGAGGTTTCTACCGTTTTTTTCCCCGTTCAAGGGTTTTTCTGGGGAGTTTTTCCTGATCAGCTGTGAGGGTCATAAGGACAGAGGGATGTCGTATGCTGTAAAGCCCTGTGAGGCAAATTGTGATTTGTGATATTGGGCTTTATAAATAAAATTGAATTGAATGAGGCAGACTGACAGGTCTGATATGTCTTATTCACTCAGCAGCTGACTTGTTGAATGATGGCGAGTGGATTTAATAATAGTGACAATAATGATGATGATGATGATAATTATGATAGTGATGCTCATCACAGTGACAGTGGCAGGGCTACAGACCATTCTTTAATTGCGACAAACTTCGGCGAATGACTCAGTAACAATGGTAATACATGCAAAAGTGTGTGACCAAAGTCACGAATATAATGTGACTTGGGATGTACGCCAAACGCTCAGAAAAGGACGTTGCTTTACGTGACGCTTCAGAGTAAGGCCGTCTCATGTCTCTTAATCAGCAATCCTCGCTCCTCACTCCTAACTCCTGACTCCTTAAATGTTTTCTTAAGTGGGAGGGACTAAACAGTTAGGTAAGGTGGCTAGGTTAGGTGGTTAGCAGTAAATTTAAGGGACTTGGGACGTACCCATAGACTTTATCATTGTCAGTAATGCCTGCTACGGAGCAGCCGGTCTCACGTTGTTTTAGAGATGCAAACTGTTAAAGCCAGTCAACCGCGATAGTCTCGCGATACCCAAATCCATGACTCTACAATCAATTCATCTAAGGATTCATGGCTGATTCGTATCGATTGAGGAGGCTGCTACCGATGCAGCCGTATCTCTCGCTTGTCAAACCGGATATCCGGTCGTATCGGTTAATCGTTCCCAACCCTATAATCTTATGTGTTGTAGGCCTTAATATTTTGCCTCCGCAGATACAAACCACTGTTTGTCTTTCTATACAGATTTTCTATCTGGAACCAGCAACAAATAATCGCTCAAACACTGCTTATTAATTTTTTCTGAAGGCAGTGGAAAACTATGGCTGGCCTTACAGGTAAACAATGATATAAACTTGGGCTATTGTTTCCATGCCCTAATTACTAATTTCAGTAATGTTCGATGGAATATTTTGTTGTGAAGAATATGACTGAACATCTCTCCCATGTATTTCAAGGGTCAGGGGTGATGCAGGCGTTGAAAATGCCGCAATCCCTGAAACCATGTTTACTGTTAAAGGCACTGGAAGAGGGAGCTTCATAGCTGGGCGGAGTGTACATAATCAGAGATTACAATAATAATTCATATAATTTACAGTATATCAATAGTAAGAAAATGGGAGATTATTGTTGGAAAGTATTTTCAGTCAGACAATTTAAATTATTACTTTTCAGTTTAATAAGCTCTGTTTCTGAATCGAGCGCCTGTGGTGAGATGTCTGGACTAGTGTAACACACTTTACCATGAAGTTCTTCACAGTCTCGAGGAAGATGGCCTGTTGCATTTGGCAGATGTTGTTCATCTGTTTTGTGCCCACTATGTTTTCCTTCCGCATCTGGCAGAGGCCCTTCACACCTTCACAGAAGGCTGGGACAACCGTCCTTTATGGTCTGAAGGTGGACTCTCCCCGAACCAGCTCTGGGTTATGGGTCACATGAAGAACCCTCGTGACCCGAACGAAGATTTGCAGGTTTGTTGAAAATCAAACTCGAAGTGCTGTGTACAAAGGCAAAGTGCAGCTGACAAGTTTTGAACCTGAATAGGTGGAGGCTAAGGTTTATACAAAAATGATTTGATTTTTTTTTATTTCAATTTGAATGGTGTCAATATCTTCAACAGTGTGGAAGGAGTAGAAGGTTCAAATTCAGGAGCAAGTTGTTTATTAATGATATTTAAGTATGTGTGTGTGTGTGTGTGATTCTTTATTGAATTGATCAAATAAAGCAAGTAAACAAAGCAAAATTTATAATACATGTACTACATGTTCTGACTGCTTAAACATTATACATATTTTATTCTCTGGTTAAGTGTTTTCTGTTGTCACTGCACTATGCCTGTGTAGGTCAGTGTGTGCTTCGGTATGTTTTTTGAAATATTTCTAAATCATTAGCCTCATAGCTTAATAAGTCA